CGATAAGGCTGCTTTATATAGGGAGATTGTGAAAGATGTGAAACTCTTGTGAAAGAGCCAGGTCAACAAGGAGCTATGGTTGGTGTGTCTGGACAAAGTGGGTTCAACCTCCTTGCTATACACCATTGTCGATATGTGTGCCATTTCCATTTATAAAAGTCCATCGTGAGATGATGCAGAGACCTTAGAAGTTAAACCCTGATGCTGTGTGAAGGACTGCATAACCTCCACACACAAAGCTTGAGCTTCAGGATGGATGGGTGTTAAGATGTTGGAAGTAAGTGTTAAGAAGTAAGTGGAAGAGGTAAGCACACCTGAAGGTACTGAAGAAGCAGTAACCAGGGTTGAGCCAGCCAATCCAATGCTACTGACAGAATGCAACAAGGGGTTTAACGAATTCTTGCTAGGACTCTGGGTAACAGATGAATGAATGGGTAGGCACATAGGTGCAATCCAGTCCAGTCCTGACTGAACACATCTATTTCCAATGCTCAAGGATGAGGTACCATAGACCAAAATGCTGGTAGTTGAGTGTTCCAATGAGTAGCAAATGCATCAATGATTGGTGTCCTAAACCAAGAGCAAATCCAATGGAAAACCCTCAATGAAGCATCCATTCTGTCAAGAGAATTCAGTTGGGTTGAGGCAACTCATCCACCATGAAATTCATCACCCTCGGAACATGGCAAGCTAGTAGGATGATATGACGGGAATGGGCCCAATATAGAATATCCAGGGTTTGAAAAAAAGAGACCTGGACTGAGCACGCCTTAATGGGAAATGTAAGACACTACTGTGGAATTGTTGGAGTAAAGCATGACAACCTTGCACCTCATTAATTCCAGGTCTTGAGACATCGCCCTTTGAACAGCAAAAAATTCTAAAACACTGATATATAGAGAAGCTTCTTTGCCCATCCACAGGCCCTGGAATTCCAGACTGTTGAGATATGCACCCCATCCCTGAAGCGAGGCATCCATCAAAAGATGGATTTCTGGATGAGGTGGCGGCAGAAGAACACCTATCGTAGTACTGTTCTGATCTAACTGTCATTCTAGATTGAAGATGTAGATCCTGAATAAGGAGACACAGAAACCATTGAAGGGATACTCATGTGTGCTTGTCCCAAAAGAATAAGGGATTCGAGTGATGCCCATATTCCCAAAAGAGAGAAAGAACCATCCATGCAGTGAGAGAGGAAGATACGAGTAAGAATCGGACTGCCTGTTCCACAGTGTGGAGCTGGGTGAGAGTAGGCTGGGCTCGACTGAGATATGAGTTGTAGTAAGAAGAGATTCTTTGGCTCTGATAAGAAATCCTGCCTTTGTTGCTTCAGAATGCAGTATCTGTGTGTGATGTTCTTCCAACCGATAACATGATACCAGCAATAGCCAGTCATTCATGTAATGGTGTTTGCACAGGCCCAGGGAGTGGAGGTGATGAGAAAGATTCATACAATTTGGCAGAACACGTATGGTGCCGATGCCAGTCGAAAGGGCAGAACCCTGAACTGCAGCAACTGACTCTTGTGCGCAAAATGCAGATAGGCATCGGCGACATCAAATTTGGTCATCCACAATCCTGGCGAAAAATGCCAATGCAGAATGTGGAATGACTCCATCATGAACTTTGGAGAATTTAGAAATCTTCTTGGGCACAACAGATAAGACAGGAATAAAACCATAGAATAACTGAAATGACTCTCTCCACTGCCCCTTTGACCAACAAATCTTTGATAGCTGGGGAATGAAGTTCTGAAATCCAAGGATCTGCAGGAGGTGGAAACACTACATGTTGGGGAGGGATAACAGTGGTGGAGGTGTGAACTAAATGACTAATCCTGATGCAATGACCTGTAGTACCTATGGATCCATGATAAAGGTTTTCCACACATCCAGAAATTCTCAGAGCCGAGGCTTCACAGATCCCAAAGGCATACAGTAGTAATCACTGCTGCTGATAGTATTCCGACCGAGTAAAGGAAACTTGTGGATATGGGCGGTATCTATTCTGGGTACCAACAGATCGAGGGGCTGATGCCGGGGGTTGGGACTGTGACCCCCTGTAGGAGCCATGGGAAGTCAAAAAGCTAAAAATGACAGGGATGAATGCAGATGGGCAACATCAACCCTTGATTCCAAAGACTCTGGAATGGCCACAAAAATCAAGGGTCAGAGAAAGGGGGGCCTCATGCAACTCACAGAGAGTGGCAGCAGATTGACCCTCTAACAATGCATCTCTACCCAACAAATCCCAATAATGTACCAGCCAAGAGACTAAAGAAAATGCAGAAGCTGACAATCAAACCAAGGCGGATGCCAACAATGGTCCCAACTTGTCATCAAATTGATGTGGTGATCACTGAGAGGCTTCCAAAAAAGATGTGTAGGGTCAGACTAATCTTAGAAAATTATGATTTGTTCAGGTTGACCACAGACTCCATTTGGGAACCTCACATTTCCAGGACCAGATCTATTCTCAGAGAGTCTCAATATGCTCACACTTGGCAGTGGTAGGCTAAAGCATGTTGTTCTGACAAATGTGGCAGACAAGGCATAGATGTCCTTTCACATGAATGAGCATTAAACCTCCCTGCATGAACGAAGTATTCACTATCAAGGAAGTTGCAGACTCAATAAAAATGGGGTAAAGATCCAAAATATCAGAAACTCGACCGAGATAGCTGATTCAAATCAGCCTCTTGAGAAGCTGACAGAGTAAAGGAAGATGCTGTAAACCCCCCTCCCCCTGGAGAAACACCACCAGACTGAATGTTTGTTTCCATCTCACTACGGATAAGGTCACAGACAGCCTCAAGCAAGAGTGACCCCTCCCCTAATTCTTGAACAACATTAGTTATCAGAGGTGCAGTAAGAGGGACCTGATTTGCCTCCACGTGGATACATTAATCTGTGAATTCATGCCATAAATTGGTTTGCCAAATGAAACTTTTTCATTTTTTTTTAGTTTTATGAAAAATCAAATAGGTAGCATGAAGAACACTCAAAGTATCTCCAACAGTCATACTACAGAGAAATCCGTTAGTGAACACTGTTGAGAAACATTATTATCCAAAGAAAGTGCTTATATACAGTACCAGAATTGAGAGTGCACTGACGTAGGTGGAGTGTGTCATGAGACAGATATCACCAAGGGCAATTAAGTGGGGAATAAAAGACTGGAGGAAACAAGAAAAAATCAGACCAATGCTTAGATGGTCAAAGGAAAAGAAACCCTAGCAGTCAAGTAATAGCTGTAGTCTGAGTGGAGGTAAGTATGATTTCGAATAATAATAAAAGCTCAAACAAAGCAACATTAATCACCATTGAGCAACATTACATTCACAACACTATCGTTACAGTCATACTTTTGCATCAATGAAAACTGCCATTTTAAAACCAAATGTCCTATTGTGTGTTGCAAAGACACGTTTTGAGTTTAAGAATACTGGACAGTTTTTGTTAGTCTTAACATCTGAAAGAAAACTTTGATTTCATATCTTCTTTATGTAGTGGTTATTCAATGTAAAGTAATGATGCCATTAGAAGGCTTTTGTCTTTTAATTAGTTTTATATGCAACTTTTTTTTTTTTAGATTTCAGTGAAGGATTAAAACAAACTTACCTTTATTCTGAAATGACTTCACCTTGACTATTGTGTTTCTTTGATGATGTCTTGATGTTGCTGTAGACCTCTTTTGATAACCAATTGAACTAGTTGTTGAGACTGTAAGGATGCTCTTTCCTGGATATATTACTGTTTGATCCTATAGTTATTACACTAGCTTATGAAACATTTAATAATGCTTGGAGATGGCTTGAATGGGTAATGAAAAAAAACTTATATTAAAGCTTTTCTTCATTACCCATTCAAGCCGTCTCCAACCATTATTAGTCTCAAAGTGGGTTCCTCGTCATCGAATCTTATGAAACATTATCCTTTTTGTTTTTCCCATTTAACACAGGAATATAACTATACATTTATCTAGTTCTGGGGATGACAGTAGGCCTAGACATTTATAGGACTAACTACAAATATTAAGAAATGCAATTGGGAATGTGTGACTAACGATTTTTAGTATAAATGGTTTGTTGTATAAATATACAAAGACAATTCGAAGACATATTTTTATGTTGCACACATTAAGTTATGGCATGTATATCATTTAAGCACATTTGAAGTATAACACAAATAATATGTTGAGCACCATAGACCAGGGACACAAATTGTCCCAAATTGAAATTTTAACATAACAATGTTATGTTGAAACATAATACAACATCTGAAGGTAACCCATTCTAGAGGCCAACCACCCTGTTAGAAAAGTAAAACTGTATTAGATGACAATGACTCCTACCCAGCCAAAATTTATATTTATGTCCCTAATCCTACTAGTTTCACTGTTAAGTATGAAAAAAGATGATGCATCAACACTATCAATTCATTTTACAATCTTAAACTCCTCAATCAGATCCCCTCTAACTCTTTCTTTCAAGAGAAAACAATTTGGGAGATTTCAACCTCTACTCGTATGACAACCCCTCCATCCCAGTCACCTCTGAATCATTCTCTGTACCCTTTCCAACAATTCAATGTCCTTCCTAAGGTAAGAAGCCCAAGACTGAACACAATACTCCAAATGTGGCCTATACATTTTTCACCCATATTTAGACTACTGAATTACTTTAATTTGTGTATTATATTTTTATTTGTGGTATTTAGTTTACTTATGCTCAGAAGCTATTTATAATTACATTAGGACCTAGTGATTATAATACAGTATTCTCATACAGTAAATGGAAAATACAGTTTATAACATAATGGTCTATTAATCTACAAAGCAGAAAGTTAAAACCAAGTGCAGCAAATATATTAAAAAAAAAACAACTATAAAAGACAAAACATGAGACAATATTCTGACAACTATACAATATCCAGGATAGTTATAGAAGCAAAGGTATTCCAAGCACACTTATATTAAAACGTGTTTCCTCCACTCACCTTAATAACTGTTACAACTAAGTCCACAGTTTCATCATGTTATGCAAGAAACATGTACCTCATCTACTCAGTACCAGAAAGAAGAGAAGGGGGAGGGTCAAGCAAGTTACTGGTAAAGCTTCTTTAAGAGTAGCAGCAAATCCATTCAAACACTTCATAAACAGGCTGCGCTTCTCACCATGTGTTTTTAAAAAATTAGTACATTCCACCAAATGATGTTCCTGTAGAGTAATAAAGAAAAAATTTTTTGGTAAGTTCAACAAATCTTTCTATGAAAGGTAATCAGTTTCAAAGAAAAATATTAAATTATAACAGGCAATTTGACTATTCAATAAAGAGTTATTATTGGAAGACATTTAAATTATACAATCTATTCAACAAGTATTTTCTAATACTTTTATATTATGAGGAACAATATATTCCTAATTCTAGAGCATATTTTTTGTGACTTGCATCTTTGCTATTCTTGAACTGATAATAATATATTTGTTTAAATATATCTGAGTGTCTGATTTTTTTTGTAGTTTATCCACATCCTGTCTTATATAAAGTTTTTTTATACAGAACACATATGTAAAAGACTTATTATATTCATCTCATATTTTTACATTCAGTTCTATGTCAGCTAAAATCACACCAATAACAGAAATTAATGTTTAGAGTCTAGAATACAAAATTTCATGCACTTAATTAAAAAAAAAGGAATTTTCTGTGGAAATTCCCCCACTAGACTTTGTCTCAACAATTCCTCAAATGAAAATTTTCAGTAAGGCAAACCTAAACCCTCCATGGAAAATTTGAAAACAAATAATTGACATGATTTAATTAACTGGATTTTTCATTATCTAGTATAATTTATATGCTTGTGTCAATAGAAAATGGTTCAGAGCAGTGTTATTGGAATGCTACAGGTACATTTCACTTAAAATATTTTTTTTTACCCCTAACATTTTACATTTTGAATTATTAATGGTTTTAACTTCAACAAAAGATGGAAATCTCTCCACTATTTTGAAAAGGGTATCTACCAAAGTTAATGTTAAACTTATAAGCCCCAATGAATATAAAACATTTTGTGTAGTGCATCAGAGAACAATCACGTGGCTTGGTAGTGGCTGGTGAGACTTATTTATATTAACTTGCCAAGGCTGTTGCTTGCTATTTCTCTAAAATGCCAATAAACCTTAAACAATAATTCACTAAATAGCTCATACTGATATACAACTACACTGAATTTATGCACCAGCATTCCTACAATAATTTACCAGTAATATTGCTTAAGTACAAAGCAACACAATGGCTATCTGTGCTGTGTCTACCAAGAGTATCAAAACCCAGTTTTTAGTAGTGCGAGCCTGCAGTCTACAGACTTGCCACTGAGTCACTAGAGGGATTCTGCTGTAAACAAGAAGGGTTAAATAACAAACTATTATTTTATGACCATTATCAACATTATTTGGCATTTATATGGCCTTGTTGTGAGCAATTAACTTTCATCCTCCCATTTCCATAACAAGAACTAGTTTATTATTTTGTGAAAAAAAAATATTATGCCATACATATGCTTACATATCAGAAACAACTTAATGTAACATATAAGAAGATAAACAATAGAACAAATACTTGAATATTTTGTGAAAAGATCTTTCAATATTTAAACTATTTGATCTAAAAATTAAATAGCAAAACAACTATATTTGTCTCAGGCCTGATTAAATATTTTGTTAACTTATACTTACCAAATGGTAAGTAAAAATCTGGTGAATTAGTGAGTTAAAGCACAGATATGAATATTTAATTCCATTGACTTTCGGATAGCCATTCCTGAAGTTTAATAGCATTTGCCCTGATTGGCTCCTGAGACAATTTTCAGTAACACCTCTTAAATCTACATAAAAATAGTAGGTACCAAAGTTCATCTACATATAGTACCTATGATGTTTCTACGTGCCAAGCTGAATAGCTTTAATGTTAGCAGAGTTATGCAAGTTTAAAGTATGGCAAAATGCATAGTTTTTTTAAAGTCAAAATTATAGTTTGCACGTTTCTGTAAAACTGGAATTACAGGTCTACTAGTTTGAAAATTAGTATTCATAGCTAGCATAGACATCTATAATTCCTACAATATTTTTAGCCCTGGAAAATAAATACTTTGTGAAATAGTGGATACCAAACATAGCAGAAAATGCCAAGATGTACTTTTTCACCAATCCATATGTACCTTGACTTCTTCATGATAAAAAACTGCAGCAAATCTCTAGTAGAACTTTTGACACATGCTCAGGTTTGTTATTTATTATACAAAACTGTATAGAAAACTTCCAACCATCAGGAGTTTAATGAAACTCATTTTCTAGTCATATTTTCTGGCCTCACATGATCACTTAAAATAAGCAAAATTAGATACAAAAGTAAAATAAAACTGAGTGTATTACAAAACAAACTAAACAAAATACAAAACTGAACTTGATGCACAATTAAGTAAAAATTAATAATTTAACACCATTTTAAATTAAAACTTACAAAGCTGTGGACGTGGCTGAAAGTTACAAAGAAACAGCCATAACCAGTAGGAAACAATGGTTTCAGGTTGGGCATGCCTCATTGATCGTTACAAGTGTGGATGTCAGTTGAGATAGAGAATCAGCACAGTGGATGAATGACTGCTAGTGTTTTTGTGTTTTATAGTTAAGGTATACATTTCTTTATTGTTGCTTTCACTAGCAGTATTGTTCAAAATTTTAATACATCAAATGTTATTACTTTATTTTATTTTCTATTATAATACTTTTATTATCAAAAATTGTTTTGCACTGTTAGCTTAATATATATATTAAACATCAACCCAAATCTCCTTAGCTGGTCATAAATATCATTAAGAGCGAGTGTATCCAACTGATGAAACAATGCATCCTAATCTTTGTAATTAATAAAGTATGAAAAGTATATTTAATTATCAATACTCATTACAATGTTGAATTTTAGTTTCACTCTCTGATTAGAAGCTAATATCAATTAAAGCAAAATGGCACATAAAACATTAAACTGAAAACAACATAAAATAATAATGTAAAACTGTACCAAACATAGTTCAGTGAATTTAAAAAAAAAACAGAATTGAACATGAACTCCTAAAAATAATCTAAAATAAAATTCCAAATTACTACATCTATCTCAATAAAACTTAACAAAATGTTGAATCCAAAGTGAAAAAAGAAATCAGTTATTTATACATAGTACAGACACACTAAATAATACTTATAAATTTTTTTCAAAAAAGAATAAAAACTATCAAGATCCTTCATATAATGAATATAACCTCTAAATGGTGATTCTCCAGTAGGCTTCTCTAGCCCCCTGAATGCCCTTTCTCCTTCAAACAAAGATTCTCCAGGGTCAACTGCTTGTGATTGGCATCCATAGTCACTTTTTGGACATTCAAATTAGACTGACAGAGAACCCAAGCCTTTGTCCAACCAATAAACATAGTCTAGCAATGCATCTCAACACCTCCATTGTAACCTTGCTGAGCTCAGATGAGTCTGTTTCACAGGGGATGAATGGCTACTGATGAAAGATGCTGAATTAGTGTTTGGGCAATTGCACTCCTTTTTTGTTTCTTATGGCAATGTTTCCTGGTTTTATTGAGCCTCTTGGATCTTATGCACCTCCTTCAGATGCTGACTATTATTGTCTCAATGTGTCATAGTGGTGACAGGGCAAGTTGCCATCACTGCTTTTTGGCAATGATGTCTCCTATGAAAGGGGCCAATGTTGCTGGCTTCCCCAGTTGTATTGGACTCCATATCAGATAGTGGAGGTTTCACTGAAACAGTGATAGGTTGAAGACTCAAAGTATTTTCTGGAGTGACAAGCATCCTCTTCATTCAACATGACAAGAAGATTCTATTCCATAGTAGTTGCAACAATGTAAGATTCTCATAACATCATGGGTTTTTATAGCTAAATTCAAGATTTAAAACTCTGAATTGAAATAGGTCAGAAGTTAAATCAGTAATGTAATGTTAAACGTCATGGCCAATTTGGCTACCTCACCTTTTCTACAGAAAAAAATCACCTAGACAGGAGATAGCATACGTGCCACATCTTACTGCAACAATGGCAAATGCATCAATTCTATATTGTAGCAAGAATGTGTTTGTCCAAAGCACCAATAAATGACCAATTCAGACAGCCTCTATGGGAAAATGCACAGACAGTCAACCATACCCCTAACCCTGAAAATAGGCTAACCAGTCAGAGAGCACAACCACCTCACATAAAACAAGTCTGATTACCCAAGAATATTGCTTTGTTCAGTGAGAAAGGAGGGTTAAACTATAAAACAACACCTTATAACAGTAGTTAGAATTAAGATAACAACTTTAAAAGCAGTGACTACAGCTTCTAACACACAAGTTTTACATTCTGTTTACAATACTTACTTGCCTTCTGATAAAAGTTAAACATAATCTAAATAAATAAGTAAAACAATACCCAATTTTACAAATAAATCCTGAGTTCTATTCATATAACCAACAAAAAAATCATGTTGTTACACTACAACTAAACATTGTTGTGCACAAAATTTGTGTACAACAAATACTTTTTTCAGAAATATACAAAACATACAGTAACATTCAAAGTTTTCAAAGAGTTCAATTGTACAAATAACACATTTCTGAATCAAACTACTTGAAAACAATAGGTACATTACATTTTCTTTCATTCTGAATAAATAAGCAAATGTGATTTCACCTTCCTAAAGATTAAGTGACAATATCTAAGAATATTCACTTGCCTCAAATGTTAAATATTCCTTTATCAACAACACTGAAAAGAATAAGTACACCAATATATATATATATATTTCTTACTTATTGTGACCAATGTAGATTATCCCACAACTTTATGATTCCTTCCCAGTGGAAAATCACACACTTATAAATACTTCAGTTCAACACCAAAGTCCAAAAATCAGTCTTTACCAGCATTAAGCAAACACAGAACATGCTGTGTTTCTCTTTCAATATCTAAACCAATCTCTGTAGTCTATACCAAACATATACATCTCAATATTCTAAGCTAACTTCTTTACTTTCCTGACATAGTACACTTTTGTATATATCGCATTCATATACATAATTACATGTATACAAACTGGTCCATATATGACACACACACAGATATATACTAACATACGTATAATATCTCTAACATCACATATTAACCAAACATATATATATCTCAATATTCTAAGCTAACTTCTTTACTTTCCTGAAATAGTGCACTTTTGTATATATTGTATTCATATAAATAATTACATGTATACAAACTGGTCCATATATGACACACACACAGATATATACTAACATACGTATAATATCTTTAACATCACATATTAACCAGCGCATACTTTTATGTAACTTACTATTCAGTGGTAAATATGATAATTATAGCAACCAATACTGACATTTCTTGCAATTTCCACATGGGGTAGGATACATGCAGCACTTTCAGTAGGGCCGGCTTTTGGGTAAGGAAGGCGAGGCAGCTGCCTTGGGCCTTATGCCTTGCTTTTATAATTACATATATATATATTTTATTTGTTAGAGGGCACTGGTAGCTCATATTTACACTGAAATAAGCCTAAGGTGAAGTCAGTTTGCCATATTGAATTCACAAGTGTATGCAGTATTCTTGGAAAGTTATATTATTTTGTTTATGAAATGTGAGAAAAAACAAACAATACAGATAAAGCAGTACATTGTCTCTCTGTTATGACTTATATAGTACTATATTGGGTTGGTTATCCCATAATAAATGGGGTCGATTGTCACATGTGACAACCAACCCCACTACTATAAATAATGCATGTGTTATAGTTTATGTAGTTTAAGTTGTGATATTTAATTAGGAGTTACCTCATAGCTGACATAAAATAGTTTGAATATATTTTAGGGTTAAAACAGAGGCTTTTTGGCTTATAGGAGCATACTGCAAAACTAATGTCATAATGTGAATGAATGTGTATTCTGAATGTAAATTTTGGGCTCATGACACCTGCACACCTGGTCATCAATTGTTTTGTATATGCCACAGTTGTGATTCTTGTGATTCTGCTTAATGATTTTTAATCTGATTAGGCCTACATTTAACATTTTTGTTATTGTTTAAATTGTATTTATTTTTACATTTCATTTATTCTAAAGAAATATAAAATTATTCTTGAAATATGTATGACATTGTATTCCTTGCTACCTCAATCATTATCATTATACATGCATATTTTTATAATTCATCTCTTAGTAATTATGATCATTATAACCAAATTATCAATTGAGGATCATTCATACTATTGCTCCAATACCACTTTTAATTATTAAATAATATTCCTTTGCTTAGTTTAAATATCATAACTATTAATTTTTGTAATTTATATACAATAAATAAATTTATAAATAATATACATTGAAAACATTTTTCTTCATTTTTTCACGCCTAATAATGTCAACCACTTTAGAAACAGGAGGTTCCGCTGGACCATATCGTCAGCATGACATAGGACGAAAACACCCATCTGGTACTAATAAGTGGAAGAAAGTCTGCAAAAGTTGCAGCTGAAATCCAGAAACAGAGCCAATCGATGCTGAAATATATTAAAATTAGCAGTGTTGATATAGATGGACAAGAAGAAAAAACAAAATATGTTAGTGATTTTCAAATAGTAGAGCAAAACATAACTACCATCCCATTTGGTTCTGAAGAACACGAAGAAAAAATAATGGAAGCAGTAATACAAGTACACAAGAAAAACATAAGCCATTTTCAGATAGCCAGCAGACTTTCAGAAGTGATCCTGCACTTTGGCCAGTTACTCTGAACTATAATATAATTGCTTTCTTAGTTGAAATGGGGCGTATTAAATGTGATGTTGTGTATTTCCCCACTAACAAAGCTGGTAGACACTTCAGCGTGGAATATTTTAAACGCAAATTGCTAAATGGGGAATTGATTCATAGGAGATGGTTGATGTATTCCAATTCAGCCGATGCTGTGTACTGTTCTGCTTGTAAACTTTTCACTTTACCTACAGCTACCAGCAGTGGATTGGCAAAAGAAGGCATTCAGGATTGGAAAAACATCAGTGCAAAATTATCTGAACATGAACAAGGGAAAGACCACACTGATGCTATGATGAATTGGATTGAACTGTACAAAATATTAAAAAAGGGAAAGACAATTAATGAAATTGATGGTCAACTTGTTAAAAGTGACAAATGTCATTGGCAAATGGTGATCGAACACATTTTTACCATCACTACTTATCTGGCACAACATAACATGACATTTCGTGGAAATTGGGATAAACTGTTCATACCTAATAATGGAAATTTTCTAGCTTTAGTGCAGCTCTTTGTGAAATTTAACCCCATTATGAAAGAACATAGTTGATGTGCACAAGAGGATAACCATTACCTTGGTCCACTCATTCAGAATGAACTGATAGTACTGCTGAGTGATTGTGTTTGCAAAAAAAATCATTAATCATGTAAAATCAGCAAAATATTATTCAATTTTATTTAATTGAACACCATATGCTTCCCATCAGGTACAGATGAATATTATACTCCGTGGTTGTGATGTAGATGGCAGTGTCTTTGAAGATTTTACTACCTTCATTCCTGTGGAAAAAACCACTGGTGAAGCCTTAACTAATTATCTGTTTGACTTTCTAAAAAATGCAGTTTTCAGTAGATGAAATGTGAGGTCAAGGGTATGACAATGGCTCCAACATGAGAGGGAAACATTCAGCTGTCCAAAAACGTATTCTAGATCTTAACAAATGTGTTTTCTATGTTTCATGTGGATGAAATTCATGGAATTTACTATTAAGTGATATGGCAAGATGCTCAGTAAGAGCAATGTCTTTCTTTGGCATTTTACAGATACTGTATGTTACATTTTCTGTGTCTGTAGGACGATGGTCAATTTTAAGATAATATGAAAGGTCTCACTGTGAATCCTTTCAGTGAAACAAGGTGGGAAGAGGGCGCTGGTGTAGTGCAAGCCATTCACTATCAGCTTATAGAAATCTATGATGCACTTCAGGAGTTAGAGAAGTTCATAACAAATGATGCTACAGCTCATAGTGAAGCTGAGTATGCAAAAATATGATTTTGTTGTAATTGTTGTATTCTGGTATGAAATTTTACATCAGACTAATGTTGTGAGCAAAGAACTGCAACAAGAAACTGTTGACATTACCCAAGCTACTGGTTTGATGCAACACACTGAAATATACTTTGAAGAGTATGGAAAAATTGGATTCATTGATCTCCTGAATATGTTTCATATGCTAGTAGATGACAATGGCATAGAACCTGTATTCAAACAGAAATGGATTCATTGACCAAAAAAGGCTAGCCTCTTATGAATTTGAATTTTTTAATTGTGTGTTGGATACTGTATTTGTACAATCAAACAGAGATTCCAACAACTGAAAGACTAATATGAGATTTTTGAATTTTTGTTCAAAGTTGATGCTGTGGACAAACATGAACTGAAGAGTAAGTGCGAGAACTTAGAGAAGATTTTGACTGACAGAAATATGGATAGCAAAGACATAGATGGAGAAAGATTTGTGAAGATTTAACAAGTCTGAGAGTGACTATGTCTGAGGCAGTTTGCAGATCATCATCACTCTCTGAAGTCCTCAAGTTTATTACTGAATATGAATATGTGGATGTTTATCCTAATACTATCATTGCCTTTCAAATTCCTCTAACAATACCTGTTTCAGTAGCATCTGCAGAACATAGTTTCTCTAAGCTGAAACTAATAAAATTTTATCTATGAAGTACAATGAGCGAAGAACATTTGGTACAATTAACTATCCTTTCAATAGAAAAAGATTTAGTTGAAAAATGTGATTTTTATTCAATTTTTGAATGATTTTGCAGCAGCAAAGTTGCAAACATTTCGCCGATATAAACTAATTTCTCTCATTCAATTTGTTACTATAAGTTTTTTCTACAGATTGTCATTTGTTACCAAAGAATTCATTTATGTTTATTTATTAGTAAAGAGTTCAACTATGTTCATTTGTCACTAAACAGTTCATTTATGATTATGTACATATGCTACCAATTAGTTAATTTATTATGTTCAACTGAAATAAAGATTATCTATAACTTTTGTTTTGGCCAGACCTTGACTTGGGCCTCGCACTTGCTAAAGCCAGCCCCGACTTTCAGACATCACATAATAGTAGTCAACTCTATCTTGAACAATTTCACAAATATGACACAAACCATGGACAGAAATGGTCCTTACTATTATAATCATCCACTCAGGTCATCACATTTTATATTTTAAATTGGAAATATACTCACTCACTCACAGTCTAATATAATAGAAGAACTAGAAACTTACTACTATCAAGGGATAACAAAATCCATTACCCGAGATGAACATGATAAATAACCTTGAAATATATCAAGCAAAATGACAGATACATTTGACAGTTTTTCATATTATGTTAAAATATAACTCTGTTACTAGACTTCATAAAGATTGTACAAACCTATCAGGTTAATTGTGCATGGTGATACAATACAACTTGAACTTATGCACAGGGTCACTAAGAAAGTTTCTACAGGCACAGCCAAAACCAATTCTCAGCTCTCTAAGATCTTACATGACACTCTCATATGTCCTAGCTGTGTATCTAAGTGAGGATCAGGCAGCCTGCTTACCAGAAATGCCACTAGAATTTCATAGTTAGATCAATCAATTATCACAGCACATAAGACAAAATTATTGCTATCAAATATCCTGTGAGAGTAAAATGAGTTGGTATACACCATGCATATGCAGTTACAAGCTTCATATTGTCCTGTATACATGACACAACCACTCCAATTTTCACTGTTACAGGATGTTTTGACTAAAATAAGCCAGAACCTGGTGATTGCACAAAACAATAATCAGCCTTAATCAATGCAAACAAGTGGTGCAGTTACCTTGGAAAATATTATCCACAAACCCATCAACAGTACAACACGAAACCTAGAAGACAGCAGACTTCTCATTATATATCAGGCTGGGAGGCCAGTACTTGACCACTCTCCATCCCTGATAACTGTTTACTTTCATTGTCCACTCCACTCTACCAGCAGCTCATAATCAGATCTAGCATATTCAATCAAAGAGCACAATTCAATACATCCATATACTCATCTCTTTATGGTAAAGGAAAGGCAATGAGGTGTCACTAGATTTACCTGCTTAAAACCCACACAGAAGCATGGTATTTTCTTTTCTTTCTGACAATCACCACTGGAGACAACCAAACATTCTAAACATTGTATTGTCCATTCCTCAACATTCACTCAATTTAGTGCTGATAACATACCTCGTGTTCCAAGGAAACCTGTATTGTAGTTTTTCTATTTAATGCACATCACCTTAATTTCTTTAATAGCATGTGATTATTGTCCAACACCATCTGGTTCCACAAATACACCAGCAAGCTTCTTGAGCATTTCAGAATGAAGATTGCAAACAATTAAATTTATTGGGGTATCAACATTGCAAAGACAAACTCTGAGTTGAGCCTTCCCATTCTTATCATTTGTCACCATTTGCCTGAATGGATTTTGTGATAACTGACTGAAGTGACAGCTTCCCTTGGAGTGCCTGATACATGAGCTTCTGGATAGCTGGGTGTACCGTGTCAGATCATGGTTGCCTCCACAGAGATGAACAAAGAGGAAGTGGAAGAGGTGGGCACTCCCTAAGGTCCTGTAGAAGCAGAAACCAGGATGTAGCTGCTAATCCGGTGCTATCAACAGAACTCAATGAGTTGGAGCAAACCATATTGAGTACCATGGGTAACACATGAAGTGGAAGGAAGCATCCATTGCCAAAGCCTGAAGAAGAGGTACTGAAGATTAACTTGCCAGTAGTTAGGTGTTCAAATGAGTGATCAACCCACCAATCATTAGTGTTTCAAAAGGAGAGCCAATCCAACAGAAAACCTTGCAATGTAGCAACCATTATGTTGGGAGAATCTGGTTGAGTGGAGACAACTGATCTGCTACTGCAGTCATCACCTGTGGAACAGTTAATACAGTGATATGAAAAGAGTGGTCCTGATTAAGGAGATCCCAGGTTTGAAAACAAGGAGCCCTGGACCAAGTGCTCTTTGACAGGAAAAGCAAGACACCTCTGTGGAATTGTTGGAGTGAAGCCTGAAGATGTCCCCTTAATAAGCCCAGAGCATAAGGCATCACTGTTTGAACAGCAAGGACAAAAACGTTATGTAGGTAAGTCCTGTTGTCCATGCATAGACCATGGAATTCCTGACTGTTGAGATAGGAACTTCAACTCTGAAGAGAGGGATTCATAAAGATATGATCTCTGTACAAGGCAGTGGCAGAGGAACCCATATCTTAGTATTGCCCTGACTTAATCACCCCTCAAGATCGAAGAAAGATCATGAATAAGGAAACTAGAGAATCCAGTGAATTGATATTTATGATCCCATGGTTACATAAAGCACACTGTAAGGATATCTTGTGCATTTGTCCCAAAGGCACGAGGGATTTGATTGATGCCCTCATTCCCAAAAAGAAAGAATGATCCATGCCATAGGAGAAGGAGAGAGGAGTAAGAGTTTGGCTTCCTGTTCCATAGCATGGAGCCAGATGGGAGTCAGCTGAGCCAGTCTAAGATATGTGATTAAAAAAATACCCAGACTGATAACATACTGAGTTGGAGCAAGAATAGAAGTCTCAGCTCTGAGAATGAAGCTTCCATTGGTTGTTCTGAAAGTAGAAACCGGGTTTGATGTTCGGACACTTCAAGAGATGGTGCCAGCAATAACCAGTCATACATTGAATGGTGTGTGGGCACAGGGCTAGGGAAAGAGGGTAATAAGAGAAAGCTGGTATTAGTTGGCAAAATCCTGAAATGTAGTACCTGACCCTTGTGAACAAAAAATGCAAAATTAGCAGGATACCTCCACTATGGCAATATGCACATAGAAGCCAACTAAATTGAACTTTGCCATCCACAATCCTAGTAAAAAAAACCCATCTCAGATTTAGGAATGAGTCACTTGTGAACTTTGAACAATCTAGGCATAAATATATAGACAAGAAGAAATGATGACTGGACACCCATCTCCTATTTCTTAAACCCAACAACTGACGGGAATAAAACCCTGGAAGAACTAGCACAACACTCTCTCTCTCTCTACCTCTAGACTAACCAAACTCTGAGAGCAATAGCTCTAAATTCCAAAATCTGAGAATCTGCAGAAGATGGAAACCCTAAAAGTTGGGTGGATAGTGGTGTTGAAGATGTGAACTGCAAAACTAATCGCAACTCAACGGCCTGTTGTGCCCATGGATCTGAGGGCAAAGTTACCTCATGCAGACCCCCACAGA